AGATATTAGGAGGAAACTCTTCACACAGAGGGTGGTGAGGCATTGGAACAGGCTGCCCAAGAAGGTTGTGGATGCCCCTGGATCCCTGCAGGCATTCAAAGCCAGGCTGGATGTGGCTCTGGGCAGCCTGGTCTGCTGGTTGTTGACCCTGCACACAGAAGGGGGTTGAAACTGGATGATCATTGTGGTCCTTTTCAATCCAGGCCATTCTATGAGTCTATGGCTCCCCTCCTTTCAGGACAAACTGCAAGCAGGAGACTAAGGGTGTGACGAGGAAGCCTCACCTAACTTGCTGGGTTGAACATTTTCAACAGGCTGAAGCCTCTCAGCAGAAGACCAGTGTCTATGGAAATACCAGGTATTTCAAGGATGTATAACCAAGATGTTATAATTTGTATAACCAAGATGTTATAATTTGTATAACCAAGATGTTATAATTGCAATATAATCAAGAAAGTAAGGCAAAGCAGACAACGATCACAAAAGAGAATAAGTGGAAGAGCTTACCCTTGGGTTGAGCTCACCAGAAGATACCAAAAGAGGAGATCTCCAGAAGAGATCCTTCCCCTCTGGTAGCCAGCTCTTAAATAGGTCCAGGAAGGGTGGAGCCTGGCTCCACCCCTTCCGGCAGCGCAGGTGAATTGCCTTCACCTGTGCTCCTCTGGCTGACTCAAGGCTCACCTCAGGTGATCAATCAGAGGTTCAGGCCGTGACTCAGCAGTTCCCATACAAAGGACAAACTTGCTCTTGAACCAGTTTTCTTCCCAAAGGCACAACTTGCTTGCTCCCACATGCAAACTGAACGAGACACCAGACCAACTCTTTCAGTTCTACCCACTGAGTTCTGAAGAAATTTCCAGGTCAGCGTAGCTGCTGGAAATTGATTTTCCAACAGAGCAACAAACACTCCAGCAGCTTGAAATACAAAATTAAAGCCATTCTTTCACAGATTCTGGAAGCACAATTATCATTTGACATTTGGAAATGTCTTTGCAAATGCACGATGAACGCAGCACTGCTAACACAGCCACACTTTGGTTCAGCACTAACCAATCCCTCAGTACCCCAACACAACAGAAATGAAGTAACTATTTACTGAAATAAACTTTCTGCACCTTAAAGAAAAGTGGCGTTTTCCAATAGGCCACTGATCCTGATGTAAATAGGATAAGAAAGTCTGAAAATCACTTTTTCCTTTTTCTTTTTAAATGAAGAAGAACAGTTAAGTGTTTTCAGTGTACTGACAAGTTTCTGTATCAGTTCAGCATCTGATAAGCAGATGCAGTGTAAGCCACTAGACAGTGCTCTTCCCTGGGAAGTGGTGACAAAAACTTTTCATCTCATACCTTCAGTTTTTTGCACTTGAAACCATACAACTATTTAAAGAGTATGTTTAAATCATACTTAGTTAACATGGAACATGGGTAATTTACTTTGTTTCCCCTCCACAAGCACTTTACTCACAATGCCACAGCAGCAGTAAGCATCCTCCCAATTATAAGCAACATATTTTATGAAGTATTCCTACACAGATTATGGCTGAAGACTCTTCCAGTTCAAGTTTAAAGAGATTTCTTCTTAGCTATGCTTTCAAACTTATTTCAACTAGGATCTAACTAGAACTCCCAGTATCCTTCCTGAACAGCACGATTCTGATCCGCATGTTAAACAAGATGACCATTTTCAGCCTTGTCTGCACATTTCTCCTACAGTACATTATGTTCCTTTATCATCAATTTTAATGTTTCTCATCTTCACTCTACTTCCAAACATTCACTCTCCTGTATGATTTTCTTCGTAAGCTTCCACCTTATGAGAATCTTATCTTCAGTCACAGGTCAGAGCTTTCTCTTTCCATTTGAGATCACATTTAAACTCCCTCCTAGAACATGGGAATCAAACACCAACAGACAGCAAGCAAAAACCAACCTTTCTTAAGGGCCATTTTCACCATAACCCTTGGCCTGCTATTGTCAGTGCTGATGAGATGGTGGCACCCAAGCAAAAGGACCAGTGCACCTCACATTAAGGTCCATAACCCCACTGCTGAACAATGCTCAGAAGCCTTTTCAACTGTTTTTAATGATAAAGACACTTGAATGCTGTCTTAAAAAACAGCCAAATGCAAGGTCATGCATTTGTAAAACACAAGCCCTACCAAAGGAAACAGAATTGTATCACAGATTGCAATGACATTAAGGACTTTGGGCAGCACTGAAGAGGCCACATGAACATTAATTCCTAACAAGAGTCTGCAACAAAAGAAAAAAAAAAAAAACAACCTAATGGGAGTCTTGGAAAGGAATATCAAGGAGAAAGAGAGTACTGCCTTTTTATATAGCACCAGTGAGATCAATAAAGGACTGTCACCCTTCCACTCAGGGGCCAACAATTTATAACAAGTACAATCACGGACCTGAAAAAAAAAATGCCTTACAGTCTTTTAAGGGAAAAATGGATTACTTAGTTATCACAAAAAATAATCAGTGAAAATCCAGTTTTTCTTAATATCTAAGCAAGCAAGCATACTTAAAGATACAACTGCTGCAAGTTTAGCCAGAGAAACTTTTGTTCAAGTCTGACCTCATTTAAGCAAGCAGAGATAATCCATAAAAACTAACAATTAACAAATATAGCAACAATCTCTTGTTAAAACTGGTTAACAAAGTTATTTTAATCAGAGATCGTTAAATTCAGGGCCATCAATCATCAGACAAAACTCTAAGCCTGCATGTCTGAGGTGCCCAAACAAAGTATTCCTTACTGTCCTCCAGCACTGGAGCTGACATGACAGAATGGTGGAAAAAAAAAAAAACATTCAAGACCACATTACATTCATTACAAACTTCACTTCCAGCACAATCTGATTACTCTAAAACACAACTGCTTGCTCACAGAGCTCAAAGTCATAACAAAATCGAAACAAGCTGGCACCAGGTGATCCCCTTCCCCCAAAACCACGCATAAATCACAGGTGATCATTGCACAGTGTTTACCACACTGCCAGCCAACAGGGATTTCAGGGGTCAGGGCCAGGAGACGAAGCCAGGTTGCCAAGAAACACATTGCCACAGGGACCTGACATGCCCCAAACCTGCAGGACAGTGTTTGTGCAGGGGGAATTGACTTATCCTTCCCTCTGCATCCTGCTGACCAGTCTCTCCACTGCATGATGCTGAGCCCAAAACTGGGGGGGGAAAGGTTGCATCTCCTTTCCAGGCCACCTCCCTTACCCATAACAGATGACTGCTCCCCTCAGCCTCCCCAAAGACTGGTGTCTCAATGCATTCCTCCTACCTGCTCCAAACAAGTTCAGCATCTCACCAGACCTGCATGCACATCAACCCCTCCCTACATACCCCTCAGGGCAGGTACTCATCCCTTTCCCCACCTGGCTGATCCCCCACCATGCACACAGCCCCTTTAAACCTGTTGACCACCTCCTGTTCCTAAAAATCCTAAACTGCTGACCACCCCTCCAGAACACAGGACACCCTCCAGACATGCTGAGCACCACTCCCACACACAGCCCCCACAAACCCTACTCACTATCTCTCCCCACATACACAGTCTCCCAAAACTTCTGACCAACATTTTACCTCAGATTAACCTCATCCCCCCAGACATCCTCAAGCATGATAAACACTCCCTCCCACACAAACTGCCCCTCCCTTATTGAGTACTCCTCCCCACAGACACAAACCCCCAAAATCTGATTTCCTTCCCCACAGATGCATCAGCCCAACACCTACGGGCTTATGGAAATCCTTCCTCACATACTCCCCCCCAAATAAACTGACATTCTCATCCACACAGCCCCCCAAACCTGCTGAGGATCCATCACCATATAGTCTTCAGACCACCATTCCCCTTCACACACAGCCTCTCCAATACTAACCATCTCATTCCCATAAACGCAAAACTCCTGAATGCTGATGAGCACCCCTCCCCACACACACAGCCCCTCTGCCCCCAAAATCTTTGGGCCACCACACCCACACTCATGCAGTCCCCCAAAAGAACTTAAGACCACCCCCCCCCCTCCACACCCCGCCCCCCCAGAACCTCTGGGCCACCATCCCTTCCATATAGAGCCTTCAGAACTCCTGCGCCCTCCCAAGGGCACACTCCCCCATAAGTGACCGCTCTCCTCCAAACACACATCCCCCCCACACTGACCATCTTCCCCATTCTCAATCCCCTAATTCTAACCCTCTCCCACACACACAGTCCCAGAAAAGCTAATCGCTCACTCTATCAACACAGACCCATCCCTAAAACGACCATCTCCTCCATTCTAAGACCCTCAAACTTAACCCCCTCCTGCACCCACAGCCCCCACACAAACACTCTTATCATCACGCTCCCACAGACATCCTCCCCAAAACCCTCTGACCACCACACACCTCGCCCTCAAAAGCTCCTCATCCCCTCAGATTCCACCCCCCCTCTCCACACCAGGCCTACACCAGGCCTACCCCGCCTCACCCTCCCAACCAGGCCCAAACACTCACTCCGCGATCCTTCCCGCCTCCTCCCCTCACCCCCACAAGGCCCTGTCAGCACGCCCAGCACGAGCCCGGACTCACTCGGGCAGATAGGTAGAGGAGAAGCTGCTCCAGCGATGCAAAGTGTAACCCAGCACCCGGCTCTCGGGGCCCGCCGGCCCCGCAGCCGCCATCTTGTTGTCAGCAGCGGCCGCCGCGGCCCCGGCAGCGACCGCGGGAGGGGCGGGGCCGAGCTCTTAAAGGGACCGCGCGGGTGGCGGGGCAGGGGCTGTGGGGCGCCCGAGTTGGGCTGTGGTGTGATGTGAGGGGGACTTTATAGGTCGTGAGGGTTGTGGTGCGTCTGTGAGGGCTGCAGTGGGTTATTAGGAGCTGTAGGGCTTGGGGTGGGGTGTAATTTGTGGCTGCATGGTTGTGTGGGTGGGCTATAGGGTGTGGCTTGGTGGGGGGCTGCGGTGGGTTTGTGGAGCTTTGAGCGGCACTTTGGGCTCTGGGGGTGTAATTTGGGGGCTGTGTTTGTTTTGGGTGCCCCGTAGGACTGTAGTGAGCTGCATGAAGATGTCCTGTGGGGCTGTACTGGAGCGTTGGGGTTGTAGGACCTGAAGTGGGATGTAATTTGGGGTTGTAGTGGTGTGAGGCTATGCCTATGGGGCTGTGGGACTGTGAAGCCCTGTGGGGTGGCATTGGGTAGTGGACACCGTAGAGACTGGGATAGGACATGGATTGTGTCTGCAAGGCTGTACAGAGGCTGGCGGATCCATACCAAGGGGCTTTAGGGGATGCTCTGAAGGGCTGCAGTGGATTGTAGGGTCAAGGGGACACTCCACGAGCTGTGTGGGGAAGGGGCTGAAGCAAAACCCAAGCATGATGTGACTTCGTCCAGCTCCTGCACTGATCCCTGTTGTGAGTAGCTCAGCTCTTTTCTCTTAGTCTGTTTTATTATTTGTATTTCACCACATAGCTCTGTACTTCGTAAGTATCAGAAGCAGCTTGTTTTGACAGTTCTGTCAATTTCAACATGTTTTTGTTGTTGTTTTCCAAAAAAGGAACTGGAGCAATCAAAGTCACCATAAATGACTGTAAATATATAAACAAGAGTTAGTAATGAGTGAAATAAAAATGAGCTAATGGAGTGGTACCCAGATTTAATGCTTGACCGACAATTTGCAAGCAACTGGAAATTCAGTGGAAGGTACTATAATTATTGAGGTTATTGGGCTTCTTTTCTTGGCTTATTGTCTCTTTTCTGGTCCATACCACATCTCGTCTGAATGCTCCATGGAAAGGTTACCTGGAGATCCAGACTGTGGGAAGGAGCCCGAGTGGTTTCCCGTGCCTTGTGCACTGTCATATTTAATAACTTTTTTCTTTTTTTTTTCCTTCTGAATTCTACTGAATAGCATGTATTTAATCACTTCATCTATTGCTATCAGTGCTGCTGAATGGTTCTCCAGCAGTGCTAAGACCTCTTCAGGTTTACACTGCAGTCCCTGGTTTAGAGGGATGCTCACATTGTGATCTCTGTTTGATGCCATGATGCTTTTCAGTGCTTTTTCCTGCCACATGAATGGACCTGAAATCCCAAACACACGTGTGATTTCCAAGTGTGTAAATTGGAGATTTATTGATGGTTTCTCTGACTGAGATTACTGTATGGGGGTTTGTTTGTTTGTTAGTTTGATTTTTGGTTGAAATAAAATTGTTCCATCCAAAACCCCCACCAAAGTGAAGGGATGACTTGAGGAATCCCTGGAGCGGTTTTTGGATGCTTGAGGATTAAGAGGAGATATTTCAAGATCAGGGACAAAACCAAAACTAAAATAACAAGAAAAACACCAATAAGGCGACAACAAATAAACAGCTGTCAGTTGGAAATGACAGATTGGAGGGATGTTATCAGACAGGAGAGCAAAATGCCTGGCTAGATTAAATTAACACAAGGATTTTTTTTTTCACCATTTATTTTAGGAAAGCAAGTGAGAGTGCTGCAACAAAATCTGGCTGAGGATGAAACATTCTTGCAGCAGCCTTGGAGGCTGAACGTCAGCTGAGGATCTCAAAAGTGAGGAGGAACAGCAAGTGCTTTGTCTCAAGACCCTTTTTTGGGACCTGAGGGAATGGTGCTTCTACTGCAGCAGCACAGCAGAAACTTGCATGCGAGGTACCATATTCCACAGCTCTACCTTTGCTGCTGCACTAACAAGGTTTTTTGAAGTTTGAGGTCTTAATGTGGCATTTAAAATTTCACTCACCCAAAGCCTCCGTTTATTTGTTATTTTTTTCTTTTTCTTTTTTTTTTTTCCCCTTGCGATTTACCACAAGAATATTAAAGGAAATAGTTTACTGTGGATCTTGCTAATAATATACTCCCTCCACCAGGAGAAAATATTCTACCTTGGCATTTGGAGCCTCACTAACAAGCAGCCAGAGAGGAGCGATGCCATATAAAACTGTAACCTCTAAATATGAAATTTTGGAGATCGCAATGAGCGGCGAGTGCCAGCTCCATGCCGGCAGCAGGGAGGAGGCAGAGGGAACGCCATCAGCTCATTACTCGCTGCTGCACAGAGCACATAGCCCCAGGAGTTTCTCTGCCCAGTGTCCTGTTACCACTTGAATCAAGATGTGAATGCCAAGCCAGCTTATTTTTAGCATGATTTGGACCTAAAGAAGCAAACGCTGGTGAAATACATAGTACTGACAGCTCTGGAAAATCTTTATTCATCTGCAGCACAGGAAGCAGGGAAGGATGCAAGAAAGCAAAGCAATCCCAAGCTACAAACGAAGTTTCCCTAGCACTGCACAGATCCTGGCAGTAGCTGGGAGAGGGTTTTTCCACGCTAAGAGCAGGCCTGGCACGGCAGGGAGGAGTGCGGTGTGCCGCAGATTTGGACAGCCTGCAAGCCTCCAGCTGAGCTCACTGCGTCTGTTGGAGCTCAACTGCAGCAGCAGTGGGGCTGTAAAAATGGGAGAGACTCGGAAAACTTGAGTATCTGAGCCCTGCTCTGCTAAGCTCTGTGAGTTTACTGTGTTAATACAACATTGGCTCTGTGCAAATGGGCGGTCCAGTGGTACTGATGCTGCCCTGTACCACCTCTAGCAGTCACTCAGACCCTCTGCTCTGTGGAACAACCCAAAAAGAGGACACTTATGACACAACCATCATGCCAAGCAGGCATGTTTCTATCCACGTCTCTTGGGTCACTGCTGAAATCCTCCAGTGCCTTTAGGCATCTGCAGGACCTGAGCTGGCTGGGGACTTGTAGATCCCTGCAGGCAGCAGTTGGCTGGAGTGGAGATGGGGCCGTGAAGGGGAGCAGAGTAGCAAAAATGGGTCCCTTCGGCTTTTGGGGCACAGCTAGGAGGTCCCTGGATGTGTGCCGGGAACAGTAGCTGGGGTTGTTGAAGGTGGACCACAGGAGATGTCCCTGCATTTCTCTGCCAGGAGGATGCACACACAGTGTTAACACGCTTGTCATCAGTAGGTCTGAAATCTAACCACGGACAGCTCAGGGATCTGACAATTGTTTGTGTCTGCCTCGAGACAAATATCTCATTGCCCCCTTTGCAAATTTGCTCCTCTGCTGCGTGTGTGTTTCGAGTTTCCTCATGCAAAACCTGCGTGGGTGTTTGGATATGTAATGAGCACATAGTTCAGGATGAAAACAAGTTGCCTGGAAGAGCCAAGTAACGCCAAAAAAATGAAAGCAATACAAACAACAACATGGCACACAGCCATACCAGCTAGACCGTGGGCCAGCCGGATCTCACGTACTCTCCGGAGCTGCAGAGCCGATCAGCTGTTGGAAAAAGGGACCTTTAAAGACAAGTGAGAGGAAATAGCATTGGCAGTGCAGGTCACAGCATGTTTCCTTCCAAAGCAGGACAGAGCCAAGGACATGAGGCAGAGCTGTAACATTCGGGGTCTCATTGCTCAGCAAGTCAAAAACCTCCAGTGGGTTGTAGTTGTGTAAGTGCCTATTGTTTTCTGAGCAGAATCAGAGCACTGGTCTGATTGGGTATTGTCACAACAGATTTTGGCAATGCTTGCTCACCTAAGTGAGCTCCCTCTGCAAAATGAAGCCCTGGCTTTAACTCAGTGCTCCGTGTTGGGGAAATAAACCTGCCTGCCTACACAACTCTCTGACTGAAGAGTATCTTCCAAGACCTCCCATAGGAACTTTGAAGAAAAGCACCATTAGCCTATGGACCAGAGCAATTCCAAAAAATTCCCTGAAGTGGCCTCACTAATTATTATCTCATTTTGGTAATGTGAATGAGGAAAAAATAGTGGTGAAGCTGTTTTGAAATGCATTTTCTGCAGAGCCTGAATGAATTTCAGTATAGAAAGGGGGGTGAGAGCAGGCCTCAAAGACAGGTTACGTAATTTTTCCCTTGCCCTCATCCATTTGGAGCAAGGGACCATCTGTACCTCCTTATAATGCAGAGAAACAGTACTTCTTTCAGCATAAGAAAATAGGTCTAGTTGTGTAGACTCTGAACTAAGCATCTGCTCTAGCCCATTCACTTAAATACCTGTCTGAGAACTCTTCACCAGCTCTTAGCGCACCTGTTCATTGGTTAAAGGCTTGAATCAGTGAAATCTCACTGGCAATCTGGAAGGTTGAAAGGGGCCTTAAATACCAGAACTTCCATATGCATATTGGCATTTTTCTTTGCATAAATGCCAGCTTTAAGAGGCTTGTTTTACAAAGCACAAACACAGTTCTATGATGATTTTTTTTTTTTTTTTTTTACATCAAGGTCAGTAACTCAGCTTCATTCATCAGTCTCCAGCTGCAAACATGTCCCAGACAATGGAGGAGAGTGAGCCAGGAAGTGCCGTTTAAGGGGATGTGAGTGGCTCTGAACTGCACTGGGGAAAGAGGATCTTGGTGCCCTTGTGCACTTGGCCCTTCACGAACTGAAATAGGGCGCTTGAGGGCAGGAAAAGCTGCTTAGGTGGCACAAATAACACTCGCACTTGGTGAGCTTCATTAAAGGCACCTCTCAAATGTCACCGCTGTGCTGTCGACTCTGGTGTGATGCAGCCAACATTGTGCTCCTCTCCACAAAGGCAGTGAGCGCTCTTAGGAAGCAGACAAGATAATCTCAGCTAAAAATACTTATTCTTCCCCTGGGAGGTGCATGCATCCTGTGCACGGTGCTCTCACGGCGACGTGCTTGCACACCCAGTGCACTCTGCTCATCTTTCACTTCCGTGCTTCTCCTCCTTCCAAGTGAAGCGCTTGGGCATTGTGATTAGTGCTCTGAATCACCCAGAGAGGATGCTCCGTCCTGTGTTTCAGATGCAAAATGTGCCTTGGAATTCAATTGTTGCTATAGTGCTGTAATTACACATTTTATGGAGTAGTTAGTCAGAATGGCTAGAGCTCTTGTTATTAGGCTTGGACTCCTTCTGCTTTATTTTAAAGACCTCTCTGATAAAGATCTACTCTCTGCATTAAAAATAGTTTTTTTCAGCTTTTGTGTCCCTTCAAATGTAGCCACAGTTCATGGCTGAAGGAAAATAGGTCCCCAGCCATGTGGAGGGACAGAGTTTGTAGCATGCTTTTTGCAACATAGGGGTTATGGTGCTCTGGCTTTTGGTGCTCCAAAATGTTCCTCAAAGTCAGCTGCAATGACAACAGCTGAGTACTTCCAGGATTCGGGAGTTCTTGAGCACTGATCTCAGCGACTTTGCTGTCTGTGGTTTGGAGAGGACTTGCACAGCCTGCTCAGGGCACCCATACCAACCAGGATCGTCTTCTTCCCTTCAGCAGTATGGAGGAAGTGGACTCTTTGGATGCTTCTTCTAGAAGATGACAGCCTACCACAATGGGACACGGTTTTGGTGAGGATGAATCCCTGTACCAAGGTGTTGCTGTTCTTATACCCACTCTAGAAGAAGCTCAGCAGTATTGCAAGCAGCTGAGATAAGCAAGATAAGCACCATCCTTGACATCCCTACTCTGGTCAGCAGGGATACTCACCACCCTACACCATAGGGTTGGCCTTTCCCCTGTTAACCACATTTTCTGCCCAGGTTTCCCTATCTGGAGAGTGGAGCTAACTGCTTAATTGCCTACTTTCTAAGGAGTCAGGCAGGATAATTAGCTAATGTTTGGGTAATGCGTCATAGGGTAAGAGTGCTAAGTAGTATTACTGTCAGCAACACAGTGGGAAGTGAAGAACTCAATCTTGTTTTTCAGTCGGGAATGTCACGGTCTTCCCTTAAGCTCATTGTTCACATTGATTGCTGAGGGCAGGGGACTTGGGTGAAAAGTTTCAAGGAGGAGAATGCCAAGGACAGCAGAAAGCTGTTTGCAATCCAGGAGAAGAGCTATGAGAATAGCTTGGTGTGCTTTGGAAAGAGAAAACTGAAAATGATGACAAAGGCAGGGAACACGCCTGGGGCAGCACAGAAAGGACTCGTGTCTGTAAGCTTAATTATTCAATAGCAACATCCTCTGAGTCATAAAAGTGCATCGGGGAAAGTTTCTTGTGTTGCATTTGTTGCATGCATGCAGCACTGTGGGAAGCATGATACAGAAACCCATCTAGCTCTCCCTGGGGACTGAAGTAGACTCAACCTAAAAGAGATTTAGCATCTTTAATTTCTATTATTCTGCAAATTACGTTACAGATGAACTTTAAACCCTTCTCATGTCCGTTGATCATAATTGATGAGATTTCAATTGTGCCTCCTTGAAGTTAAACATCTGAGAGACACTTTGCTTAATAGTTTGCCTTTCAGAGCACTGCATTAGCTCCCTTGTGCTCCAGTCCGCTTAATTTACAGCGAGTGCCCAAAAGTGGTGCAATTAAGGAAGGAATCTTGGGCTGAAGCTCTCGATGCTTTCAAATGACCAGCAGACCCTTCAGCGCTGGCTTGTTTTTACCATAGCTGGAACAACACCTTCCGTGACTCACTCTTAATTATTCTCTGGATTCACAAACAAATGTTTTTAACCTCTTTCTGTTGTATCTGAGAATAATTAAACTCTCATCTCTGTCTCTGAGCAGTCCTGGAAACATTGCTGTGATCTGCCGTTCCACTTCTGTGAGCCTGACTCCTTGGCTTTCTGGCCCCACCAGAGAAGCATATCCTTCTTCTGCATCTTTTCTAAATGAGCTGACATTTTTCACACTTTCTGTTTATTTTCTTGCCCTGGAAACAGTCCTATGCTTTGATCTATGCAAAAAAGATGTCTTTTCCAGAGAGGTTGCTGGGCTTTCCCTGTTTCCTGTCAAGTGGCCAACCGCAGGCCACGTGGAGAAGATGCTAGCTTCCTTTTCTTCTTCCCAGTATCAGTAAGCCAGCTGCAGACCATCTCAGCAGCTCTGCACCCTGCACAGGTGTTTCTTCAGGCAGGAGGATAGAGGGAAGAAACAGAGATGGTGCGGAATCAACCCTCTCCACCATTTGCATTCCTACATCTTTGCGAGCTTTCCATCAGGAGTAATGTTTGACCCTTGGGAAAGCAGAGCAACCTTTTGTTTGCCATTCCTGATGATATGAAAATCAGCAGACACACTGCTGTGATGAGTCGCCCACCATGAAACGGTCACATGCCAAACACCGCCCCATCCCAGTGCTCCCCAGGGAGAGTTTGTGCCCAGTCTCAGTTTCTGAAGTCCTCAAAAGCCTGCTTTATCCTAGAGAACCACTTCCTGTTGTGTCTGTTCCTGTATTTGTACTAAGTAGGTGGAAACACTGGCAGCAGTTATGGGAAGGGTAGGGCTTGGGGAAGGATGTACGTATTTATCGAGATCACCCTCCCAGCCATGGCTGGATGTTCTACTTAAGACCCTCTTCAGTGCTCAGTGTCAAGTGGAAAATAAGCAGGACTCACTGCTTCCATGAACAGAGATGAATTTTCCAAACCAAAAAATAATATTTGATGAAAGAATAAGCATCATCTGTCAAGACAGGGCATTTAAGGAGATCTCAAGTTGATTTTTCTTCTCCAGATGTTGCTCCAGCAGGAAATCCACCCAAAGGGTCTCATCTGTCCTGTCCAGAGCCTGACCTTAAGGTCTACCATGAGAGAGTGGGAGATTGCAGCTGTTTGCTGAGAGTGATACAGAGAAAGGGAACATTGTAGCTGTTCCTGCACTCTCTTCACTGGGTTTGCGTGTATGGGAACAAGGAGAGGTGCTTTTGGGGCCAGAGTCTGCCAGGCTGGGAGAAATGGTGTAGGGAGGGCTGAGACAGGGCAAGGTTGCTAATGCTCTTATAAAAAAAGGGCCATAGGGATCCAGGAGAAAGATGCAACTGCTGATGTTGAGAGGTGGCTTTTTTTTTTCCCCCCATAGATCCAGGAGTTTTCAGCATGTTGTAGAGAAGTATTTCTGTTCCCTGGGAAAACAGGATAGCTACATACCCAGCAGGTGGCTTCACTTCTCAGCACGCTCAGCTTCTCCTGCTCCATAGGAAGCTGTTTCCCAGGAGCCGCATATGGGCATGGACTGGTTCATGAGCCTATTCAGATACTGCTTGTTTCTGTGGCTTGGTGATTTTGCAATCTGCTTCTTAGGAAGAGGAAGGAGACAAAAGCCCTGTGACTGCTGAAGGCTTGAGACAGATTCATGCTTATGAGCAGTCATCCATGTGGATTTGGCAGCCAGAGCTCAGAGGCTTGTGGGCTGCCTGAGTGTCATCCCTGCTACTTTGCCAACCTGCTGCCACATGCATAGACTGACTGAGGGGCTCAGGGATCTGTCCACATAGCTGAGAAAGAGGAGAAGAGGGACAGGAGAGTGACCCAAGTCATTATGTCCTTCAGCACGGGCACCTCGAGTTGCCCAGTCCAGATTTGCTCAGTGTGTGTTGGAGGAAAGCTAGATCCTTTTTTGTCAAAAGAAGCATTGCAAATCTCAAAATGGAAGGAGCCTAAGAGCATGCTGGACATGGATACGACCCTACATGTAGCCCAGCAAGGGCTTTGCTTATGGTTCGCAACTCTCCTGCGTGCTTTTGGAGCACTTACAACAGTCAGCTTGCAGCCCTGCCCCTTCCCAGGAACATGCAGCTCCAAGGAGAAAAATAACTAACTTCTTGGAAAAGAATACAGCAAGCAAAAAATGTGAGTCAAGACAGATTTGCAAGGGAAAAGGAAAGGTGGAATGAAGAATAACAACAAAACACTGATTGATACTACAGAGAAGTTTCAGGGAGGTGAAAGGTTTGCAAAAATGCCAGCTTGGGAAGTATTAGAGAGACAGGTCTATCTGTGGAATGTGAGAGCCAGATGTATACCTCTTCTGCCTGAAATCATCTGGGCAAGGCCAAAGGGGGTAGCCACAAAATGCACAGCTCAGAAAGTGGCTGGGTAACATCAGGAACCAATTGAGGTCTTGGGCATGGGTGGACTGGAAGTGCCAAGCCTGCTCACAGATACTGCTGGGATGGGTGTCATGTCAAGAATGATTCAAGCCACCCACAGCTCCTGCCCGCTTAGACCTTGGCTTCCCGTGCTGCCTGCAAGAAGCAGTCACGTCTCCTTGTGTAGGCATCTAGAGTACACAGCAAAGCAAAACCAGCTGAAGATGAAGTAAAGATAATTCCAAAAAAAAGATTGGATGTATTAAGCAAGAATAGCATGTCCTCCAGATTGTTGAAAGAGGAAAAGAAGCAACAGTGGTGACCTTTTATAAGTCATGGAAAACGAAGGAGATAGCCGGGTTCTTGGGAAAGAGGTCAGGAAATGGAAGGCAGAGCAATGGAAATTTTTACCTGGCAACACTGGCTTTGGTCTCAAATACAGCAAAGGAAAAGGCAGGACGTGACATAAATCTCTGACTGTCTAAAGGATGAAAGAATAATGAATGTTTATCCACAGGGCTATAAAAAACATGAAGATGGAGAGATTTTTTATCAGTCTATGAAATGAGTGGTTGTGAGAATACAGTGGAGGCAATATTTCGTCTCATTTGTGAAGAATTTGATGCACTGTCTCAACACAGCACTTTTCTAAAATTAATTTGGCTTGAATTTAAACATCACGCACGCTGAACATCGCAATTTAAAGGTCCTCTCAGATGGCCATATGATATCTCCCTCCTGGATAAAGTGGAAGTGTTAATGACCCCATCCCTCTGTTGAAGCCTTCTTTCTGCAGACACAAAACCGCTGCATTCATCTGCCTCCGCCAACCACAGTGCAGATAACACTCAGCAAAACACCGCATCCTCCAGGACGGAGGCGGGGAAGTGAGAAAGCCAGCAAGTGAGTCATCAAGCCTTACGGGCAAAATCTGCCTGGTATTTGTGGCGTGCAAGAGAATAGCCATGCAAGGGGCTTTAAGCTCACCCTGGTCCTGCAGGGCCACTTGACTCTGTCCAGGGATCACTGTGTGTCATCATTCATCATCAAGACCTTAAAGTCTACTCTAACCCCCAGTACGTCCTTGTCTCCCTCTCTTCTTCTGCAGTGTGGTAGTTCCAGGAGCCATCTCTGCTGGCTTTCTATCACTGAAGTCTTCTGAGAGGAGAGAGCATTGGTTTGTGGCTGAAATCCTAAGCATGTAAATGTAGGCCATGATGCAAGAGAAACTGGCTTTCCAACTGTGCATGGCAAGAATGCCCCCTCATTAAGGGATCAAAGTGCTATCCATCGAGACCGCCTCTTGCAACATGCTGAAGACCTGATTATGGTCATTTTTCTCCCTGCTTCTACTGCATGCCTGAGAAAGGGACACAGTAATTAAAGTTTGAATCTCATTAAATCTCAGGAAGTGCTTGGCTTTCTGAGAATCCAATTATCACAAATGCTATGTAACGCCAGTCAGGGCACAGTTTGTTTTTGGAGTTTGGAATTATTCTTGTTAAACATACAAGTATGGTATGAAATCAAAATTTGTAGAGTATGTTGAAAATCCAAAGAAGGTGCAGCTAAAAAAAAAAAAAAATCAATTTAAGGGCAGAAAAAAATACCTTGGAGAGGGAAGGAAAGGCTGCAAGAGCTTCACTCACCAGTAAGAGAAGGGACAGAGCAGGGAAGCCTGAGCAGCAGGAATTACCCTCATTGAGCCCAAGGGCTTCCAAGGATAGCGTGCCTGGGTCTGGATGAGCACCCCATCAAGATAACAAGCTCTAGCTCCTGGATGGTGACCTGAGGCATAAAGCCAGATGAGCAATGAACTGTCATGGCTTAACCAAAGGAGTGGCCAAGCTCTGGAACATGCTGCCTAAGAGGGTGGTTGAGTCCCTGGAGGCATTCAGGAATGTTTAGGTGTTGTACTAAGGGACATGGTGTAATGAGGAAATGGTGGTGGTGGGTGAATGGTTGGACTAGATGATCTAGGAGCTCTTTTCCAACCTGAATGATTCCATGACTCTATAAACTATGCCCCAACTGTTCTGGCTTGCTCTGTGGTCACTTGGGTTTGACAGGTGAAAAGTCCTTGAGTTAATATGCACTTGGATCTGTACATATCCGTGGCACTGGAAATCACGTAAAGCCAGCAGTGAGAGGTGAAGCTGTTCTTCCTCTTGCTCTTCAAACATGGAATCAGAGAATATTCTGAGTTGGAATGGACCCACAGGGATCATTGAGTCCAACTCCTAGCTCCACAGAGGACCATCCAAAGTTCATAGAATCGGGGAATAGCCTGGGTTGAAAAGGACCACAATGATCATCTGATTTTGAACCCCCTACTGTGTGCAGGTCACCAACCACCGGACCAGGCTGCCCAGAGCCACAT